AATTCTGGTGATGCCATTTCCTCCCCAGCACGGACTGCCGGCTGGTGCCCCCCCCCCACCCCACCCCACAGGCCCACCACACCTTGGAGATGACGCCCAGGTAGTCCGCTAGCACGCGGTGGAACAGGGAATGATCCACTATGCCCTTCTCCAGGATCGGCTGCAGGGAAGTTTCCAGGTGCTGCAGCACTGATTGGCGGGAGGTGCCCGAGGGGAGGTTGGCCAGGAGGTCGGAGAGGCGGCCGGCGCCCGGGAGGGCGAGCGAGGGGAAGAGGCGGAAGTCTGGCGCAAAGAACTCGGATGCTAGGGCTGATCGCTGAGGGGGTGGGGAGAGTTGATATGCATGCTCTATGACTGGCGGGGGGAGGGGAGTGGGAGGGAGAGAGAGAGAGAGGAGGGACACGAGTGAGGGGGAAGGCCGAGTGTGGGGAAGAGGCGAGAGGAGAACTCCCTGGGGGAGCGAAGGGAGGCTGGATAGCAGGTCGGAGAGGCGGCCGGCGCCAGGGAGGGCGAGCGAGGGGACGAGGCGGAAGTCTGGTGCAAAGAAGTCCGTTGCTAGCGCGAAGCGCTGAGGCGGAGGTAAGAGCTGGTAGGCGTGCTCTATGACTGGTGGGGGAGGGGGGAGGGAGAGAGGTAAGGGAGGGAGGGAGAGGTGAAGAGGGAGGAAGAGGCGGGGACAAGTGAGAAACATGGAAGGATTGAGCAGACTCAAGACGGCACTGTGACATAGCACCACAAGGCTACAATAGCACAAGGCATGGCACCATGAGTACGTGGCATGGCACCATGAGTACGTGGCATGGCACCATGAGTACGTGGCATGGCACCATGAGTACGTGGCATGGCACCATGAGTACGTGGCATGGCACCATGAGTACGTGGCATGGCACCATGAGTACGTGGCATGGCACCATGAGTACGTGGCATGGCACCATGAGTACGTGGCATGGCACCATGAGTACGTGGCATGGCACCATGAGTACGTGGCATGGCACCATGAGTACGTGGCATGGCACCATGAGTACGTGGCATGGCACCATGAGTACGTGGCATGGCACCATGAGTACGTGGCATGGCACCATGAGTACGTGGCATGGCATCAGAAACATACCCGCACTGGCAACAGAGTGGCGCATCATCTCGACCACATGGCCCTTCGGCTGGTCTGTGGCGCATGCATCAGCTGAAATACATGACACTACGCTCTCACGTATAGCAACACCTACCCACCCTTCCCCCAACCCACCCTTCCCCCAACCCCCCCTTCCCCCAACCCCCCCTTCCCCCAACCCCCCCTTTCCCCAACCCCCCCTTTCCCCACTTGCATACCAGCACTGGCGACAGGGTGCCGCATCATCTCCACCACATGGCCCCTCAGCTGCCCCACGATGTCGTGCTTCTTCTCCTTGCTCGCTGCCATGCATACAGCGGGAGGAGGGGAATAGCAGAGGGAAAGACGGGCAAGGCTGGTACCACTTTTGAGAATCTCGTCAACTCATCTCGACCTCATGACCCCTCAGCTGCCCCACAATGTCGTGCTTCTTCTCCTTGCTCGCTGCCATGCGTACACGGGAATTAGGAGCAAGATCAAGGAACTTGAAAGTTCGATCAACGTAGATGGAAGTAGGAGCAAGATACAGGAAACAGAAAGGGAAAGGGAGACAGAAAGGAGGAGAGGCTGGTCCATCATTCGGTTGACCAGGTGGTGAGGAGCATACAGGTGAGGAGCATACAGGTGCATAGGCAGCTCGCGGCAGTGCAGTGCAGCGATGATTGAGTTTACCGGAAAGGAAGAGAAGCTTATCAATGAAACCCACCATGGTCCATCATTCATCCTGTTGACCAGGTGGTGGGCGTACGGGTGCACGACCAGCTCGCGGCAGTGCGGGCGTAGTTCCGAAAACACAGCCTCGCGCTCCTCCTTGCGGCCGTGCTTGACACACAACGTACCATGCATGCACCATGTAGGAAAACCATCACATGCTTACCATGGTCCATCATGCGGTTGACCAAGTGGTGCGCGTAGGGATGCACTGCCAGCTCACGGCAGTGCGGGCGCAGCTCAGAAAACACAGCCTCCCGCTCCTCCTTGCGGCCGTGCTTGACACACATCTGCAGCACTCGTGACACGGTGTGTGAGCGCGCCATCTCCACCATCTTCCCCTTCATCTTCGCTGTCATCATTGTCACCAGCCTGGGAGGAGGAGGAGTGAGAGAGATGAGTTCAAGGTGAGAAGAAGAAGAGGGGGGAGAGGACGAGGGAACAGGGAATGAGCAGAGCAGCAGGCGTGAATGAGCAGAGCAGCAGCACGCGTGAGACCGTGTGTGAGCTCGCCATCATCTCCACCATCTTCCCCTTCATCTCCGCAGTCATCATTGTCACCAGCCTGGGAAGCGAGGAGGAAAGACGAGGAGAAAAAAGAAAGGGCGCATTTAGACATCTCCGGATGCCAGTCTGACTCAGAGATGCCCCAGTGATGGACCATAAGAGAGAGGAGAGGGGGGGAGGGGGGGGGGGGGGGGGGGGGGGGGCGGTTTCGGCACTCACTTCTGAGCAAGGTTTCAGCGCCCCTCTACCCCCCCCTTTCTCTCCCCACCTCACACTCCCACCTCTCGCCCCCCTCACCACTCGGCACCCCACGCACTCTCGGTACCCACGCACTCTCGGTACCCACGCACTCTCGGCACCCACGCACTCTCGGCACCCACGCACTCTCGGCACCCACGCACTCTCGGCACCCACGCACTCTCAGCACCCACGCACTCTCGGCACCCACGCACGGGGCACACACGCACGGGGCACTCACTTGCGCTTCTTCTCCATGTCGATGTTCCTCTGCCGACTCTTCTCCCACAGTAGCGTCAACTCTGGTGCACTCACACAGATATACAGCCACACACATGTACAGTCACACATGCATTCAGTCACACACATGTATAGTCACACATGCATTCAGTCACACACATGTACAGTCACACATGCATTCAGTCACACACATGTACAGTCACACATGCATTCAGTCACACACATGTACAGTCACACATGCATTCAGTCACACACATGTACAGTCACACATGCATTCAGTCACACACATGTACAGTCACACATGCATTCAGCCACACACATGTACAGTCACACACATGTACAGTCACACACATGTACAGTCACACATGCATTCAGTCACACACATGTACAGTCACACATGCATTCAGTCACACACATGTACAGTCACACACATGTACAGTCACACATGCATTCAGTCACACACATGTACAGTCACACATGCATTCAGTCACACACATGTACAGTCACACAGATGTGCAATCACCCACGCATTCAGTCACACATGCACACATAGCAGTATACAGCACAAATCAAATGAGACCAACGTGCACACGAGAGGGCACGTTCAGGCTATGGCCTTTCACGGCATGGCATGGCATAGCATCGCATCGCATGGCATCGCGTGTGGCAGGACTTGGCATGGCGTGGCATCACGTGGCATGGCGTGTGGCAGGTCGTGGCAGGGCGTGGCATGGCGTGGCTAGTACAGACATAGTCTCCTATCGCCCCTCCCCGAGCCTCTCTCCTACACCCATAAACCCATACTCACGCCCGCACTGCGCTGATGCACCCAACCCGTTTGCACCAAGCCCGCCTCTCACTACACTTGGAAAGTGCTAAACCCCTATCCCCGGAACACGCCTGTTCCAAATCCAGAGTTCTGGGGTTTCAAGGTGGAGCTAAATCCTGGCGCGCTAAACCCTCTCTGCGCCCACCTTCTCGAGATCAAAGAGCGGGCGGCGGCGCTTCTTCCGCGCCTCCGCCAACTCCTGTGCGCAGGGCAAAAGGTAGGAGGGGGAACGGGGAGGAGGGGGGAGGGAGAGGAAGGAGGGAGACAGGGTAGGAGGGGGAGCGGTGGAGGAGAGGAGAAAACTAAGAGGCGACGGGCGGGGGGGAGAGAGTGGGAGTGATAAGTGATAAGAGGAGAGGAGGTGCGAGAGGGTTTAATGCAGCAGGCGCCGGATGGTACAGAGGGTAGGAGAGGTGGACAAAAGGGAAGGGTTTTGAGGGGGGAACAGGGTTCAAAGGAGGGACGGTGTTCATGGGAATGACGAGGTGCTTTAAAGCCGACGAATGCCATGAGTGCCATTGCACGCACCTTCCTCTGCTTCCTATCCATCGGTCCGCTAGGTGCGCTCTCCCCTCTTCCTCCCCCCCGCCCCTGTCCGCCGCCCCGTCCCCCGCCTCGTCCCCCGTCCCTCCCGCGCCCGCCGCCTCTCCCCCACCCTCGCCCGCGCGCGCCTCCCCCTCCACCGTCGCTGGAACCTCCGCCTGCGCCTTCAAACTTGCGCTTTCTCGAGTCGCCGGGGCTGGCGCTCCCTCCGCGCCCAATCGCTCCGCCAGCTGCGCCCTGCTGTCTACCCCACTCGCCCCGTCCCCCGCCTCTTCCGCCCCTCTCGTCCCCTCTTCCGCGCCCGCCTCCCCAGCCTCCCCCTCGTCTTCCCCCTCCTCCATCCGATCCCCGCCCAGCCCCGCCCCAACCTCCCTTATACCCTGAACCTTGCGAGTCCCTTGAACCCCCAAATGATCCGCTAAACCCTCGCCCGCCTCGTCCGCCTCGCCCGCCACTTCCGCCTCTTCCGCCACTTCCACCTCTTCCGCCTCTCCCGCGGCCTCCGCCGCGAGGATTTCCCCCCCAACTGTCTGCCATGGGTCTAGGCGCTTCTGTAGCTCAGTTCAAATGAGAAGTATTTGGAGCACTGTTGTGGAAATGGTTGGGATATTGGAGGAGACTGGCTCTTGTTCAAGATCAGGTGCGAAAATGCGAGTTGCTAGCTGTTCGGGGTATAACATTTCTCGGTGTAGGTGATGCAGATACACATTGTTAGTGTACGTACGGTGTCATACGGTGTTATACTGTCACAGACCGAGTTCTCGTTACTGTGTCTGAACGCGCTCTGATTGGTCTGCTGACAGCACATTCCCGAAATCTACCATCGCAGTCTCCCCAATTCGTCGACTTTCCCACCACGTCAAACGAACTGAGCCTTGCATAGATGATCGCGCTGGTTCTCGCTTTTTATTGGCTGATCTTCCTGCACATTTCGTAACATTCCCTCGTTGACAGGCAAACATTACGCATCGCAGCCGTTCGCAAAGAATCGGAGGGCGTGTATTCACCCGTATCAGCTTCCTCATATTCTCGCTTTCCGCTAATGTCGCGAACATCTCTGCGACTCGCGCCAAACCGCAATTTCGTCGCAAACCACCACAATTTTCAACTCCTCCTCCACACCTCACCTGCTACCGAAGGAAAAAGCCGTTGAGAGAGAAGAAGCACCGTAAATCAACAAAATATATCACGCAAAACCGTATCGAAACGCACAAAAACGTCTACGACATTAGAAACCAGCAGCAGCAACTTCGCCACGAGGACATCTCATGCTGGAGCGTTATATAAAGGGTGCCACAGCGAAGTTCACTCAGCACATCTGTATTACAGGACTGCAGCTCAACTATTTCCGGCCGTAGCGATAGTAGCTGACTACGCGTAACAACCCAACAAACAGCCTCGCTAGCTCCATAATTTTAAACTATTCTTCGTCTTGTGTTTCCAAGCTCCGCTCTAGAATCCTCTCCAGGAGCAGACTCGTAGTAGCGATTACTCCAAGGTCGTTTCCGGCTATGGCCACGGCACTCGTACCATCAACTCCTGCGACGCCTTCGCCAACGTCCTTCGCCGACCTATCAGAAGACGTCCTTCTGCACCTGCTTTCCCGGCCGTCCTCCGACCCCAACCGCGAGCTTTCCCCAGAAGACCTCGCGCGGCTCGAGGCGGTCTGCTACGCCCTCCGCCGCCCGCTCCTGCTTCCCCCGAACCGCCGTCACTCCGTTGTTGAAACCGCCGCGCGCGCGCGATGCCTGCGCCACCCGCTGCTGGCGCGCGTGCCGGCGGACCTACTGCGCGGAATGGCGGCGCAGCGGTGCGGCGGAAGCTGGCTGCGCGTGCTGCGCTTCGCATGGGCGGTGGAGGACGCCTGGGGGCTGCGGAGGGAGGCGGAGGAAGAGGGGATGCGAGGGGGAGCCCGCCCGCCGAGCGCCGGCGCGCGGAACTCTGGCGAGTTGGCATCAGCAGTTTACGCGGGCGATTACTGTTCATTCCAGATAAAGACAAACGGCGAGCTATGGGTGTACGGTTCAGGCTCGCGAGACGGTTCCCCGCAGTTCACCCTTCCGTTAGCGTCAAATCAACCTCCCCCAGATCTGCCTGCCCCAGTCACTGCCCCGGATCAACCTGCCCTGAATGAACCTCCCTTGGCGAGAGATGAGAACCAGGCGGCAGGCCAAGGGTGGGCGGCTGCCGCCCTTGCTGCCGGCCTGGCGGCGGTCCGAATCGGAACTGGCGGTAGTACCGCAGCTCCAGGCTCGGCAGCAACAACTAGTTCGGCAGTAGCAGGCGCGGAGAGACCTGCCGCTCACGCGCAGCAGCAGGTGCAGCAGCGGCGGGGAGGGGCGCGTGGGCGGAGGGGGGCCCTGAGGGCGCAAATCGCGGTGGGGGGAAGCGCGGACGCGGAGGGGAATGGAGGGAACGGGCGAAACAGGGAAAATGGAGGGAACGGGGCGAGTAGGGAGGAAGAAGAGGGCGGTATGCGGGAGAGAGTGGCGCAAGTGGCAGGGGGGAGGGCCTTCACTGTGATACTAACGAGGTCCGGGAAGGTTTACACTATGGGGCAGGACACTAACGGGTGCTGTGGTCACGGGCACGACGGGGTGGGGAAGAAATTTCCTCAGCCGAAATTAGTGGAGGCTTTAAGAGGTGTGCCATGTCAGCAGGTCGCAACAGGAAGGAGCCATGTTCTCGTGCTAGCTAGGGATGGGACTGTTTATGCGTTCGGAGCGGGCGGCAATGGCCGGCTGGGTCTGGGAGATACGGACGACAGATGCCGCCCGACGGTCGTGGAGGGGCTGCGGCCAGAGGTGCTGGCTGCCATGCTGGGCGGATTGACGGGCGGCAGCAATGGCGATACGGATGGCAACAACAGCGATACAGGCGGCAAGAACAACGAACCGGGCGGCAGCAGCACCAACAGCAGCGCCAGCAGCAGCAGCAGCAGCAGCAGCAGTGACCCATACGGTCAGTACCGCATAGTGAGTGTAGCAGCTGGCGCGAGTCACTCCCTGGCCGTCACTGCTGCTGGCGTGGTGCTGGCGTTTGGCAGAGGGCACAGTGGACAGCTGGGGGGCGCGCAGGGCTGGGGGAGCTGGGCGGGGAGTGCGCAGGGATGGGGGGAATGGGCGGAGGGCGCGCAGGGGTTGGGGGATGAGAGGGCGGAGGGGATGAGGGGAGGCGGAGGGCGGGTGGGGCGAGGGCAGGGACGAGCCGGGGGTGCTGCTGGCAGGGTGCATGTGGGCAGGCGTGCTGGTGGTGGTGCGACTGCTACTGGCGCCAGCTATACAGCCAGTGTTGCCGCTACTGGCAGCGCTACATCCACTAATGCTACTTCTGCTGCTACGGCTGCAGCAGTGGCGGCTGCTACAACGGACCTGTCTGACTGCCTGGTACCGCACCCCATATCGTGGCTGGTGCGGGCGGGCGTGCGTGTGATGAAGGTGGCGGCTTCGGTTGATTACTCCGCTGCTCTTGACTGCATGGGACGGGTGAGTTGAATCCTGACGTGTGAAGAGGTGTGACTAGGTGTTAAGAGGTGTGTTCCACTGCTCTTGACTGCATGGGACGGGTGAGTTGAATCCTGACGTGTGAAGAGGTGTGACTAGGTGTTAAGAGGTGTGTTCCACTGCTCTTGACTGCATGGGACGGGTGAGTTGAATCCTGACGTGTGAAGAGGTGTGACTAGGTGTTAAGAGGTGTGTTCCACTGCTCTTGACTGCATGGGACGGGTGAGTTGAATCCTGACGTGTGTGTAGAGGTCTGCACAGGTCTTCACCGCTGCTCTCTTACTTGTTTCTTGAGAGTTCTCAAAAAACATATGCCAAGCAAATGCTTCTTTCAACAAGTCTGGTCATGTAAAGCCTCGTGTAGGTTCTTACTTAAAGCCCACTCGCTGCTGTGCGTCCTGTGACCTGTCTCTCTCTGCGTGTGGGCAGGTGCACATGTGGGGTTCCGGCTACTGTGGGTGCCTGGGCAATGGGAGCGAGGCCAATGAGGTGCTGCCACGTGTCGTGGAGGGGCTGCTGCACACGCGGATAGTGCAGGTATGATTGGACAATCCTATCAATTTATCACGTTGGCTTATCACATTTGCTTATCACATTGAGCATGTTGCCGTATCACATCACGTATGTTTCCAACCTCTAACCAGGTGACTCTGGGCAAGCGCAAGACACTAGCTCTGGACGACCAGGGGCAGGTCTTGGCGTTTGGATGGACGGCGTTTGGAGGGCTGGGTGTTGCGGCAGGGCGAGACAAGGTGTTTTCCCCCATGCCTGTCGAGGCTCTGGAGGGGAAACGAGTGGTGCAGGTGAGAGGGACAGGCAAGAGGGTGAACTGTTGAGTTACGGGTAGCTGTAGGGTTGGTGGGAGTGGTGGCTGGCGGCAGGGCGAGACAAGGTGTTTTCCCCCATGCCTGTCGAGGCTCTCGAGGGGAAACGAGTGGTGCAGGTGAGAGGGACAGGCCGGAGGGTGAACTGTTGAGTTACGGATAGCTGTAGGGTTGGTGGGAGTGGTGGCAGGCGGCAGGGCGAGACAAGGTGTTTTCCCGCATGCTGGTCGAGGCTCTCGAGGGGAAATGAGTGGTGCAGGTGAGGAAACAACGAAGCACCGGTAGCACCCTTTCTGGTTGATGCTGGTTACGGTATTGCAAATTTATCCTACGTGCCGCTTGAGTACTTATGAGAAGCGGCTACATTGAGTCAGTTTGCGAGTGCGTTTCCGTGTGCGTGTCGTGCCAGTGAGCATATCAGCATTTGGGGGCCTACTTTAATTGTGCTGTGCTTTCCCTTGTGCTGTGACTAGTTTGAGTCAACTGAATCATCGTCTGCTTGCATGTGTGTTCTTTTCCGTGTGGTTCAATGTGGTTCATGTGGTTCAAGTTTACAAGCAGATCAGCACGGGGGCGTACCACACTGTTGCCTTGTGCCGTGACGGCACCTGCATTGGCTTTGGGGACAATGAGCAGGGACAGCTGGAGCTGCACTGATGGTGTTGGTCTGCTTTTTGAGAGTTTTTAAGAAACAGACTCAACTGGAGCTGTACTGATGGTGGTGAGATCTGCTCTGCACTCAAAGCACAGCTGCACTCAAGCCATGTCACTTAGGGTGCATTCCTGCGGGGACACTTGTGTCTCAATCCCCGTTTTCCCGAGTCGCGTCTGTAAATTTGCCAAATGTTGTGTCACAAACAACCAATGTATCGCGACTCTAGGCGACCAAGCGAAATGTACAGCTGTGCGCATTTGATTGGGTGACACAAATGACTGTACATCCCTTTCTTCAACTGCTTGGCTGGGGTGTGGTTTCGACGCGCGGGATTTTTTCCCGCACGAAATTGGCACTGCAGGCTGTCCAGATGCATTGACATTTCGAGCCGCGTGCGATTTTTTCACATTGACGAGTCGGATTACAATTCGTCAGCGCGTTTCACGCTGTCCAATAAAAAATACAGTTATGGTCGCAGAAAGGCGACTCGCAATTGGGACACACTACAGCTTATGCTGTTTTTGTGTGTCACGAAGCGATTGAGACATTTGTGTCCCCATAGGAATGCACCCTTAAACTGTTACCACAAGTGTTCGGTGTGGCACCTACCCAAATGTCTATGTCCATGCGTGCAACCAAAACGTGTACGGTAACTGTGTGCAAGATGTCTGGTTGCAATGAAATCTGTATCACAAAATCTGTCTGAACAGTGGGACTCGATTGAGAAATAAAGCTGAAAGGCAGCAGTCAATCTTTCAAATACCTACCTACAGCAGTTGAGAATCAATCACTAGCTAGCATAATTTAACCAGAGAGTCGCATGCAAGAGTGCTGTAGAGACATCGTCAGCAAAACGCAGTGTTTGCTGCATAGAATGTATCGGCAACAATGAGCATGTTTCAATAATAGGCAGAGGAGAGTGATTGCTTGCGGCGAGGCTTATCCGGCCCTCCTCCCTGTTGCTGCCGCATCATGGCTGCAAACTCCTCATAGTCAATCGTGCCACTCTGTTACCACACAAGGGGAAGGAGGACGGAGCAAAAAAGGAGAATCAAGATGAATAATTTGGAATA